AAATTGCTACTAGAAAAGGCTGACTGGCTGGCTTCAGGAAAAAAAATCATATGCGGATCAATTTGCAAGGCTACGCTCCGCATCATCATAGAACAGAGTATAGAATGGCAGTCAACTCTCTACCTATGCTTCCACTTCATCGACTTTTGAAGGCCTTCGACAGCGTCGACTGAGAATTAATTTAGCAGTTGCTTCCACACTACGGAATACCACAAACGTTTATCAACCATATTCATCAACTGTATGAAGACGCCACATACCAAGTGATTCACAACACAATGGAAAGCTCAGTGATGTCTTTGAAGTGAAGACAGACTTACAGGTAAGACAATATTGCCTACTATCACAAATGATCTTCTTGATTGTGGTCGACTGGATAATGCAAGAAACAACAGCGAGGAACGAGAAGATGGGCATACGCTCGCTATTTGACCGATGAAGACCCGAAGAAAAGATTTGGGTTTCGCCAATGATGATTTATGCCTAGTGTTTAATGTTGCATGAAATCGAAGATCTACAGGCGAAAACTAACAAGTTAGCAAAATAGGCAGAGGAGCGAAGATGAGACTTCTGGTGAACGTAGAGCAGACATAAAAAGGAAATGGTCTCTTTCATCTACCTACCACCTACCTAGACAGCATCGTTTCAACTACAGGTGGCACAAGTACAGATAACGATGTCAAAGACAGGATCGGAATTGCAACAAGACAGGATTTGCTGCATTCATCTAAAATCAGTGTGGAGATCTACTACACTGCACAGCACTGCACTCAGCATAAAGCGTGAACAACATCCAGATTTTCAACACTAATTCAGTCAGGTCAGTGCTTCTATATGATGGTTCAAAGACTCGGTGCGTTAAGAAAAGCATTTCCAACAAACTACAGACATTCATCAACATCTGCCATCTACGCTGACTCAATACTGAAGATGGAGATCAGATAGCCAGAAAGAATAAGCAACAAGTGGCTCTCACCTGCCAACGAACCAAGGAAGCAAGAACCCATCTCCCAATAAATATGCAGAAGAAGAACGTGGGAATAGATTCGATTGTGCATACACTGAAAAGACCATTTGGGGACATAACGCTTCAGGCCAGGGCAGGCCGTGGAGTGGGATCAAGGTGGGAAACAATGAGTTGGGTGTCCGAGACGAGGGTGATATGGAGGAGATTGTATGAGAAAGAAATGAAAGCTGATGGGCAGGTTGAAAATACTGCAGAGAGGAGAGTGAAATTGGGACGTGCAACTGAAGCCCTATGTTCGACTAGGAACCCAAGAGACAAATAAGAAGGGTGTTTTGCGTAATCATGTGAAAATATTATGGTATCAAAATGATAATTGGGTGAGATAAAACTATAATAATAACAGTAACAAATACGGCAGTAATAAAATGACATTCAATATGAAGGTATATATGAATAAACACAGTGAATGTATAAGAAATATTGTGGAAAACGGCAATAATAATTTGAACACAGTCCCGGTTGAACTCATCGGATAATGACAGCTTCGATAATTCTAAGTAGACGCGAGCTCTTTTGTCCGTTGATTACTATGAAGGATTTTATCCTACCTATTTTATGTCCTGTATCATTTAAGTTACGAGTTGTTGCACTGTTGAACGAGGATAGATCTCTGAAACGTAGACTCTTAGGCATGTGATCGACAATTTTGGTAGACTTCTGGTTGGTATTCATCGTGGACTGAGATCAGTTGGAGGAACAGTGGAAACTTGGTAGCACCGAACAGCTGTTTTGCACCCATGAACAAAGACCAACTTGAAATCAAAAAAGTCCCGCAAGCCTTGAAATTAATTAATCTATGGCTCATTGGTGACTAGCTTGGAGAGGTGATGCCTGAAGTTTTAATGAGAAGTTTGCGTCAACCATTTCGGACGTGAGGGTAGATGCACAACGACAGCATCAGATGGAAGATCACGCTATATCATGATTTGACAGAAGTAGGAAATATGGGCCATTGAATTCTGACCCAGTGGCTCAATGGTAATGCGATGGCTCTGGATCCTGAAGGCCCCTGGGTTTTATCTTTGGCGGGGTCATGTGTGCACACCGCTGATGAGTCCGATGCTAAGACGATATAGCTGTCTGGTGCTCCTAGATTTCCAATGTTTCTTCAACTAGTGCCAGTCCATGATGAATACCATTCTGAAATCAATAAAATCCCCACAAGCCTTCAAACTGAATTGTGGTAGACTATTTTTCTTCATGCGTGCTTGCTACCACATGTATGTGTAAATTGATAATTACTGTTGGAGTTAACAAGATTTGGTACTTTGTCTAGTTTGGAATATGTAATTGCACATGTTGTTTGGAACAGTCTAGTAACCGGATTAGTCATTGACAGGGCACTCCTAATTCATCTGTTAATTCTTGTTGCAACATTGTCTCGCTAGATTTTTAAGGTAACAAACCATCTTTCCTAAAATATTTCTAATACATTCACTTTGTACTTATTGATATTATCATTTGACTCTCTGAGATAGCCGTAGTTTGGCAGACTAGTATTTATACTGGGTGATGATTGAGGATGCAATGAAAATTTCGGTTATGGGTGCGCACTACTGAGGGCACCCACACTGGGAAGAAACAGCTGTTCGGTGCTACCAAGTTTCCACTGTTCCTCCAACTGATCTCAGTCCACGATGAATACCAACCAGAAGTCTACCAAAATTGTCGATCACATGCCTAAGAGTCTACGTTTCAGAGATCTATCCTCGTTCAACAGTGCAACAACTCGTAACTTAAATGATACAGGACATAAAATAGGTAGGATAAAATCCTTCATAGTAATCAACGGACAAAAGAGCTCGCGTCTACTTAGAATTATCGAAGCTGTCATTATCCGATGAGTTCAACCGGGACTGTGTTCAAATTATTATTGCCGTTTTCCACAATATTTCTTATACATTCACTGTGTTTATTCATATATACCTTCATATTGAATATCATTTCATTACTACCGTAGCTCAGTTGGCAGAACACCAGAGCGGTACCCTCGGTGGTCACTGGTTCGAATCCGGCTGCTGTCCGGATTTTCATCGCATCTTCAGTCATCACCCAGTACAACTATCGTATTTGTTACTATTATCATTATTATTATTATTACTATTATTATGGTTTCATCTCATCCACTGATCATTCTGCTACCATAATATCTTCACATGATTATGCACTCCGTTCTATTTACCTCTAATCTAATCTGAGTTATTTATGAACATTTCTCACCTTGCCTTATCTCTATAACTGCTTGACTGAATTTATTACTTGAACTTCCTTTGTGTCCCGAATTACTATATTTTCATGTTTTTAAAAAATCCTGATTAACCGGTATCTGAAAGGCTCCATTAAAGGTATTATAAGCTCTCATTTTTATTGATTTATCATATTGATCATACAGTGTAACAGTATTGTTTACTGGATTACGTTTCGGACATACGTTGTTGTCCATATTCATATCAACATAACTACACAACTTTGAGATATCCTTTATATAGTCCTAATCTCATCTCTTTGTGAGATGGGTATTAAGATTTCCCATATGTCCGGAACCGGTGCTGAGTCATTCCTGTTGCACGTGTTAGGTGTTGATTCGATAAACAAAGATTCAGTTTCAGTAATAAACTTTGTTATAGAGATTATTTACTTATTTATCTAGGTTGTATACATCTGAAAGAAGTCCTATGAAGTAAGACGATGACGTCATCTTATCTTGCAAATGGTGTTCTCGTTGCGTTATTCATATTCAATCTCAGATAGCCGTGGTTTGGGAAACTTGTATTATTGATATTGGATGTTTGATGGATTTGAAGTGAAATGAGAATCTCTGTCATGCCGGGACTCGAACCAGTGGTCTACGAGTTACTGACCTGGTGCTCTGCTGCCACCGACTGAGCTACAAGGGCAGTGAGTGTGAATACGTTGGATGGACAATAGCTCATCATGTTTTCACTTTTTAGTCGGACAGAGATCTTGGTGATTGTAGTGAAATAAAAATATGATTAACACCTAGTTCTTGTAACTGTTGGTAGTTTACTAGCCTAGTAATCTGGGGAGTTCGAATTATGCTACAACCCAGTTTTCACCTATAATCATCCCTCAGTATCAATATTATAATGCCTAGATTAGACGGCAACATGATTCGATAGTTGTGTCATTCTGATCAGTACTGTCGATCGGAAGGAGACAAACGAACCAAAGCAGTAGATAGTTATTGAGCCTATTGGCTAATAAGATAAACTCACAAGCTGTTTCGGTCTCTAGCACGTTTAATGCATCGAATAAAGTAGCTGCAAATAAAAAAAATGATACTTCTGGAGCATAGGACATTCTGCGTATCAATAGGCGCACCGAATGTAATCATTGGATAATTTTTACACAGTATCCAATTCTAGCTGTATTATTTGGTGTAAAGGTGTTGATTGTAAGAAAACTTGATTCATAATCTTTGAATTATTGGTCTCCATATCCTAAGTAACTTAATTATGAAGCAATAAAATTTTTCCTCATCTGTCACTCTAAAGACCCGACAGAATACACGATGTCTAATTGTAATTTACTTATCAATCTGTTATCCCACCTTTTTTAATCTCTTTAACTTCACTTGGTCTGTAGTCTGATAGTTTCTGATTCCAACTAAGCTCATGATGTACACCATCCATCTTCTCAGTATTATAGTTTGTTAGTCTTAGAGTTTGTACACAATACCTTCCAGTAGATAATGTTGTTGCTTGTTTTAGGTGCATTCAGCTGACGAGTCCTAAACAGGACGAAACGCACGTCCTGAATTCCACTGCTAAGTATTATCCATCATTAGTAAATAATGATATTTCATTGTTTTCAGACATTCAATAAAATAATAGTAATAATAATAATAATAATGCTTTTTAAGCCCCTGTCATCATGTTTTGTTATACTTTCATCACGGAGAAGGAAATACCATTGATTGTCAATTATTTCTTCATCTTTTTACATAATACAGTGATAATTACACTCTACAAATTAATCCCTTATCTGGTATGGCAAATGAAGAACATTTGAAATACTTTAAATTTATTGGTCGTGTTGTTGGTATGGCTGTTTATCATGGTAAACTGGTTGATGGTTTTTTCATTCGACCATTCTATAAAATGATGCTTGGCAAGACAATATCATTGAAAGATATGGAAGCTGTTGACTCAGAGTATTATCGAAGTTTAAAGTATATACTGAAAGAAGATCCTGCTTCATTAGACTTATCAATGTCTGTTGAAGAAGAACATTTTGGTGAGACTGTAGAAGTGGATCTTGTTAAAGATGGAAGAAATATTCGTGTTACTAATAGTAATAAAACACAATATATCGAGTAAGTTTATTGTTGTTGTTATTGTTGTTTTCTTCTGTGGAAATCTTGAGATTTGAGGTGGTGATATGTTTGCTAGCCCTCCTCTTACTCCCTTTTATAATTCATAGATTACTCATGTATCAACCTACTACACTATTTTACAAGTGATATGCATCGTGGTCAAAAGTTTTTAGATATGATGCTTAGATTGATCCCTTCAAAATGTAAATGAACTTAGTTTAAACCTATAACCTCAATGGCTTGGGAAGTAAATGTCTAAAATACAGAGATACATTTATACTTTATGTTGATGAGTCTTAAAGATGTGTATAGTAATTTAAACCACTGTTATGTATATTAATCAGCAAACATTGGCCTTAAAAGAAATCGTTGAAAATCACGAGTTAATATTGGGGGGGGGGGAGGACTTCGGAATTCACTCAACAACCAAATACACGTTTGTCCAATAGGCAACGAGTTACACTTATTCTATGAGAGAGCTAATAATGCTACTTCGATAACTGAACCAGGGTTCGAACCCGTAAGACTTGTTAGAAATCGAATGTGTCTGCTCTGATAAACCACAGCCCCTCATATTAGGGAAGTGTATGATCTGTCAATAATCTAAGTTGCTCTTTTCAGTACGACATTCATATTCTAATAACTGATGAAGAAAATCGTAAAGTTGAGGTTACTTGAAGATAGATATGTTTTTAAGGGCATCAGTCTTTCTGTTGTTATTGTATCACCTGGGTACGCTTACCGATACCAATAGGTCTATGCATCTAAATACTAGACAGTACTGATCACACTTCAGTTTGATTGTTTTATCAAAGGATACAGAAAATTTTCATTCTGTATATCAAATGTAGGTGATATGACACAGTATTGATCGCAGTACTCCAGATGCATCTACATTCACATATCGTCTCCTCTTGTTTTACAGCTCTTTACGATCCTTGGTTTCAATATTTCTTGCTCCCCTGTCTTTCCTCTTGTTACCTTATGTACTGAATTGTTGTTATCTTACACAGTTATGCTAGGTCTTATTTTCATACTAACTGACTTACTGAATTCAGAGTTGATGGCTCCTTTACCGTTCATTGTTTCCGATTAAATAATTCTGCTCTCTGATCTCAATCAATCCAGGTAAACAGCTGATGACCTTGGTTCCAACGGAACGAAATGGCTGTCACAATGATTAGATCACCTTGATCTGGCTAGCCAACCACTGCTGTTCGGTGTGAGTTGTGTAGAATGATTCATCAGTCAATAGTATATTCCGTACGACTTTCATGCTCACAGCCTCGACACCCATTGTGGGGAACTCAATATTTTGGTTTCCATTGTAGGCCATGATGCATCTGCAAACACCTATTTTGTTTTAATTTAAACTTATCTGAATCCTTATATACGTAAACAGGGATTAAAAAGGCTACTGTTACGTCTCATTTTTCACGTGTTGCTTTTATCAAATACGACCATCGAGTTGGTTCGACTATTCATGTTTCGACATTTTCTTCATGATGTTGCTCGGTGGTTTAGTGGATAACACTCTGACGTTAGAAGCGATCGGTCCTGAGTTCGAGTCCTAGTAGGAACAAAATCTCTGACTGGGAGGAGGGTACATCAAGCTGACGAGTTTGTAATAGGACGATATACACATCCTCCGTTCCACTGCTACCTACTATCCATCATTAATATAGCTGAAACACGGGCAATGTCGAGGCATCCACGTTGCCGGAGCCCACATGCTAGTAAGGACCGATCAATTCGGTCCACTCAACGGTGAGATAATACAAGCAACAACAATAAAACTATACGTGTCACACAAGAAGTAGCTATCGTGACTCGGTAGTATAATGGATAACGCTATAGCGTTTAAAGCGGCTGGTCCCGGGTTCGAGTCCCAGTGGGGAGAAAATCTGTGACTGGGAGCCGTCAGGTGCATCCAGCTGACGAATCAGAAACAGGATGGAACTCTCGTTCTAAATTCCACTGCTAACCGCTATCCGCCGTCAATGTCTTCTTTTTTCTCTGTGTAGTAACTATTTTTGTGTATGAGCAGCTACAGCAAACATCACCTTGAATGAACATAGTGACTATATTTGTCCAATCTTTTTTATTCAAACTCACTTAAAATTTTGTCAAGGATTGCAGTTTCTCATCTGTCTCAAGACGATAGGTAAGTGCAAGATTCTATGTAGTTTTGTGACTGTTATTGACAGGATTACCGCTTCATATTAGTTTTCAACAATAACGACACTAGAGGTTTTGTTAAAACTGAACCTGTTCAGCTATTTCTCGATGCACAAGATCATATAAAGTAAAAGTTGGTTGTCTGTATAACAGAATCAAGAATGCGCTTACGTAACACCAGGGGAATTGATGGAGTCTAGACAGAACTTAAGAGATCAATAGTTTATCTGTTCAAAACCGTGAAGGTCACTGTTATTCCATCGGGACATTGCCTTTTTTCATTACTGAAGAAACATGAGAGTCTCCCTTAGGACACATCGAACGACTAAGAGTTGACACGAGTCAGTATTTTTTAGTTTTCCAGTTAGCTTAGTCTCCTTGTTAGAAAATGTTAGACATACACACAAATAATATTTTACATTTTCAGATTAAATTTTATTTAAGAATTTTGTTTTGAATGACATTCATCTTCTGTATGTAGAGTTTAATGGAACTCATTTCTCTCACCGAAATCCAGAAATGTCTCACGTTTAGTGTAGCAAATCGAAATTTTATTTCTCATTTGTTCGAGTGTCAAGTGTTCTCTTGTACAGATAAGTTTGCAGGTGATTAAGAAGGTTTTTGTAGTTTCTCATGGATTTGCGCTTCTGTATTGTATACTTCTTATTTCATCATCAAGATCAACGTAGGACTAGGCATTACTGCGTAACAGTCGAAGCTGTTACACCTTATATCAGCGCAAAGCAACGAAATGGAAGATGAGGAAACATCAATCAAAAGAAGTAGCAATTAGTAGGATAGCGAAAGGACGAGTGAGAAACTGATGAGACTAAGTATAGTGGTTAAGATGAGGATAATGTGTTTATACATCTGCGCCACTGACACCAGTTCTCAGCCGTATGACGTAGTCTCGAACCACTGGTTTCCCTTGTCCCGTGGACCCCAACCGACTAGTCTGCATCGCCCCCCCCCCACTACCACCACATGGCTCAACGACTTCATACATTGATACCATGTTTTAGTCTGTCCACCTCGAGCCATTTCCAGCCTGAATCTACTTCGGTCAACAGACAGACGGCGACTAGGCATACGCAACAAATGTCCCAGCCGACCATCTCAGTCGATGAAGTTTCACAACCGCATCAACTGTCTTACATCTACTGCCTAAAACTCTGCATCTAACTTCTGTGTTACTCACATGATGACCACGAAACACGGCCTGTAATACGAAGGCATCTGTGATCAAACACCTGAAACCTTCTCATATCTTCTACCTTTAATGACCATGTTCCATAGTCATGAAGTAGAACAGAGCGGTCTGTAGCACAATACACTCGACCCTTAATAGACAATCAATCAGATACCGCGATAGGGCCACAGATGGCGTAAGTTAGCAAAAGCTAAACGAGTATTTTTTTTATCCGTACAGAGATTTCGTCGCTCACTGACCAATACCTCAGGGTTGATCTGACCTCCCAGGTAAGTGAAGCGTTCAACGTTCTCAACCGCTTCACTCTATTGTTAGTCGGGATACCGTTGAAGACCGGTTGTGGAGCAACAATTTGCACTTGGGTGATGAGAAACGCATCCCAACCCTTCTCAAATTACAATTCAAGATGTCCAAAAGACTCTGTTTCTTGTCAGCGTCCTCACCTAGCAGACACCACAACTCAACCGATCTCACGATAGGCTCTAACTCGCCTGCGGGTGTTCGAGTAAAGAGCCTTCAGTAAAGTGATGTACTTATTCAGTATTCCCTTCATGTAAGCTTGAAGAATTGACGTTTAAAGACCTATTTAGTTAGATAATATTCTTGGTGATTGAAGTGAAATCAATATCTGACCGGTAAATTGGAGTTTGTTGGTTCAAATCCTACCCTGGCCCAAGTTTTTATTTAAACTTCAATCGTCACCCAGTATCAATAAGCTTTTCTCTGTAAGTAACTTGATAGCCTAATCGAAAGATATGAATTTCTCAAGTGAATCTCTCTTGGAACCCATCTCATGGTGCCATGCTGCACCAAGTTTGTGTTTCAAATAAATCGTAAACGATGAACCTTTCTAGATAACTCTGGTTAAATAGTAACTACTTCGATCATTTATTGCTAGAAAAAATAGTCACTTTGTAGCACTTCAGTACTATTAGGGTCATAGCCTGTGGTCGTTAAGCTAGGCAGTCAGTTTCAAAATGGGACCGACTGTCAACTCCTCCTAAATCCTAGGTATTTGATGCTGACCATTGTGCTGAATTAATTCATTTCCTGTTACCGGACAAAATATCAACGCACATTAATCCTAAAGTAACAGTTTTTATTTGGACACATTTCAAACATACTTGCCCATCGAATACCAGTGGTTGGAGACTCTAGGTGATATTGCTCAGAACAGATGTCAGTGGCGCAGATGTATACATACATTATCCTCATTTTAACGACGCTATACCGAATCTCACCACTTTCTCATTCTTCCTTGCTCTCTTTTCGTACTTTATATTTCTTTTGACTGCATTTTCTTATCTTCATCTTGAGCCTCAGTGCCTTTTTACTTGATCTGCTAATATGAGGTGTGGCAACTCGGACTGTTACGCAGTAATGCCTGGTCCCAGGTTGATCTAGATGGATGGATGTCCATCTAATGAACCCACAAAATTCTGCATCTTATCATCGTCTTCACCTAAAATGAATTTTCATTTTTATATCGCAAAATGTGTTTCTGACTAAAGTGGGCAGTGAACTAAACTTTTTGCGTTAAAGCTCTAAAGTTTTGAAGTCACTAACCGTTCCCTGAAAGTTGACTTTTTAAATCAATGAGTTTCCAAAAACATAGGTAAGTCGCTAAGATCGTATCTCAGTTTGTTGGAGAAACAAACTTTTAAGGAAATATAGAGTATAAGCTTTGAAATTTACATGTTGTGTCAAATTTTTTGTATGCCATGAGTTTTGACTAGTGATACAACTAGATTACTCATATTGAAGTTTGAGTAGAGTTTGAATGTCATAGCACAGTGTTGTTGAGATCAGTGAGTCATAACCCCTTGAATATTTTTATATACTAATTTATCTATGTTTAAAATATGCTTTCACATGTCTACGTAACATTATTGGTTATCCTCTTTCTCCTTCTGTCATTCTCGATTGATTCCATTTGTAGGCGAATTATAAATTGGCGATTTGTTTCACGTGTTGAAAAACAAATGTGTGCATTTCTTGAAGGTTTCAGTGATTTAATACCTTTGGAAGCCTTACAAATATTTGATGCAAATGAACTTGAACTGTTAATGTGTGGATTACAGGATATTAGTGTTACTGACTGGAAAGCGAACACCTTGTATAAAGGTGAATATCATGCAAATCATCCAGTCATTGTTAATTTATGGAAGGTAATGCAACAGAGACATTTCTATTCTGTATACTTATATGTTTCGCTTTCTTTTATCACCGTTTTGTCTCCTCTTCATCAAACAAAGCTGATAATTATGTAGATTTATTTATAATAGTCACTTTGATTGAGTATCACCATAGTCTAATCAATAGGGTGTTGTTCACAGTATAATTGTTTTTACATTATACCATCGTTGATTACACCGAATCGACTGATCCCCGTTGGCATATGGGCTCCTGTGCGCATACATCGATATCACCCGAGTACGAATCCCGGTGGGAACAACATCACTCACTGAGAAGCACGTACATCCAGCTGACTGGTGAGTCCCAAATAGGACGATTCCACTACTACCCACTCACTATCCATCATTACAATAGGGTGTTCATTTAGTTCTCGTCGACTAATTAGTATAAACTGAAGGTTGAATAATCTTTTCATTCAGTTTTACAAAATGATATCTGACTGTCTATGAGGAGGGGTTGCCAGTTGATCATCCAACCTACTAAGTAGCTGTGTGCTGCCTCCTCGATGATGATATGCCTTCATTCACCAGGCTAAACAACATAACAATCCTTCATATATCGAATCATCAACGTATGTCGAACAGTAACGTTATTGTGTTAGTGTAGACAACAAGTAAGAAAACCCTAGAACGAAGGTTGCATACCTGTTTGCAGTCGTGTACATTAGTGATATGTTTTTTCAAACTGTGGGTGGACTGACAAAATCAAAGCAGAAATTCACACATAAATGCATCACATCACCTCAAGTTGTCACACTTCACAGTAATATGAAAAGAACAGTTGATGACCGAATAGAATAGAGAATCTGAACATAACCGTCAGTGCAAATATTCAAGCCTTAGAAGAGGTTAAGGAGTGAATACATCTGTGCCATTGTGACCGATTTACAGCCATGTCATCAAGAGTCCTCAACCACTGATTCCTATCTTCTCGAGAACCTCAGTTGGATAATCTACATCTCACCACACCAACATTAAGAGACTTCATTGACTTGGTCTCGCCATCCTCAATCCTCTCCCAACCTAATCCAACTTGCCTTGCTTGACATGTCACGTCGAGGTAGACAGTGACTCAGTATCCACAATACATGTCGAATCCAGTTCAGTCGACTCATCTTCACAACCTCATTAGGCAAATCGCCTATCTTGTCTAGTACCCTTCACTTGACCTCACCTCAACATTGTTCACACGGTGATCCCACTAAACGTGAGCAACGTTGCAAAGACACCTGTGATGGAAATCCTGTAACCACTTGATGTCATCTACTTTCAACTTGCATATCTCACAACCGTATAACAGGACAGAAGGGACTGCAGTACAGTATACTTGTCGTTTATTAGATAGATAGTCAGATATCTCGCCAGTCTGTGTAGTAGGTGACGCGAGTTGGTAAGTGTCAAACGGACCTTCTGTATCCGAGTTGAGATTTTGTCCGCCAGCAGCCCACTGAGGCTGATGCCAGTGCCCAGGTGATTGAAGTGGTCGACACATTCCATCACTTCACTGCCTATCCTTAATCCAGGAATAGTTGCAGACTAGTTGAGGAGCCTTGTTAACTGGTTCACTAGTTACTAGCCGGTCCTAAGTCCGGGTAAAGAGGGAAGGTTGGGCATAGGGCTAGCAACCCTACCCCGTAAAACAAATCAAACCGCTAAAGAAACTTCAAAGCACAAACACAACATAAAAAATAATAACAAAATTATTCCTCGCTGGAATCGGAGAGGCGAAATGACGCCGGTTGGTGAAAGCCTTCGGGAAGCCAATTCGCCGATGTGTCTTCTCTCGATGAAAGCGAAAGTAAACGTGGGGACATGGAATGTCCGCACCATGTTTGAACCCAGCAAGGTAGCCCAGATTGCAAACGAGATCAGAAGGTATCATATTGAAGTGCTTGGATTTGCGAAAGCAGATGGAATGGGAGTGGACTCTCCAAAATGTCAACTGGAGAATCAATAATCTACTCCCGTAACACTGACGACAACCACGAGCACACTGAGTTATGAAGTGGCTATCATGATGTCCCCAAGAGCATCGAAGGCCCTCATGCAATGGAAACAAGTCTCCTCCAGGATCATGACAGTGAGGTTCAACTCAGAAGGAAGGAAGGTCACAATCATACAATGCTATGCTCCTACAAATAATGCAGAGCAAGAGAAAAAGGAGGAATTCTACAGACAACTTCAATCAACACTGGACAAGACCCCAGTTGGCGATATCAAAATTCTAATGGGCGACATGAATGCGGAACTGGGAGCAGACAACACAGGAAGAGAACTAACCATGGGTCGAGAAGCGCTCGGTGAGGTGATGAGCGAGAATGGAGAATTGTTTGCAGAATTCTGTGCATTCAACGATTTGGTGATTGGAGGCACTGTGTTCAAGCACAAGGATATCCACAAAGCGACATGGATTCGATTTCACCAGATGGACACACTACACTAAAAATCAGACCGACTTTATCTCAATCTCAAGGAAGTGGAGACGCAGTCTACTTGACACAAGGTCAAGAAGAGGAGCAGATGTAGGCTCAGACCACTACCTAGTGCAAGGGACCTAACTTCCAAATCAAGTGAAAAGCCTTCAAGGAAGCTGGTGATAGACCACAGTTCAAGTACAACACGGAGAACAGAAACTGAAGGACGAAACTACAAAGGAAATCCTCACAGCAGCCACCAAGACAAAATGGGAGATATCGAGGAAAAACCCTGAAGAAACCTGTGTAGATGAACACTGGAACTCTTTGGAAGAGATGTGGAAAGAAACCTGCACAACCGTATTAGGAAGGAAGAAGAAAGAAGATAAGGAATGGATCTGAATGGATACATGGAAGCTGATAGGGAAGGGAGAGGAGGATGGTGAAGCAGAAGATAAACCAGCGCATGGATGCTCAACGACAGGAGGAACTGAGTACAATGTATAAAACACTACACTGGACAAAGAAATGAAGAAGAGTGTGTCGAAGGACAAAAGACACTTCCACGATACACTGGCAAGTGGAGCAGAACAGGCTGCAGGTAGGAGAGACAACATTGTATCAAATAACCAGGTTACTATCGGTCTGGGAAGAGGTCAACACAGATGAAACCAATAAAAGATGATGAAGGAAATTCAATTAGCAAAGAAGAGAAACAAAGGAAACGATGGGCTGACCACTTCAGAAAGCTTTTGAATCGACCACCACCTGCAGCCCAGCCACAGAACTACAAGTGAATACAAGCCCTCCGACGAAAGTGGAAGTCGTGAACGCCATAAAGCTACTGAAATACGGGAAAGCAGCAGGACCAGATAGGATCCCGCTGACCGAATTGCAAAGCTTCTCGTCCTCGTAGAACAGAGTACAGAATGGCAGTCAACTCTCTACCTCAACTTCATCCACTTTGAAAAGGCCTTCGACAGTGTCGACGGGAAGTAATTTGGCAGTTGATTCAACACTACGGAATACCAAAAACCGTTATCAATCTCATTCAACAGCTAGCTATATGAAGACGCCATATGTCAAGTAATTCAAATGGGAAGCTAAGTGATGCCTTTGAAGTGAAGACAGGAGTGAAAAAAGGCTCTCTACTATCACCAATGATATTCCTGATTGTAGTGGACTGGATCCTGCAGAAAACTGTGAGGATCAAGAAGAGGGGTATACGCTGCTTGACAGGGGAAAACATCCTACAAGATTTGGATTTCGCCACCGATTACTTATGTCTAATGTCTTGTAGCACAAACTCGAAGATCTACAGGCAAAATCCAACAAGTTGACAGAAGATGTAGGGCAGCAAGGACGGGAATTCAAGTGAGCGTAGAGAAGACAGAGGTGATGAAGATACCCAACCAACACCATCACCACCAACAACAACAACAAGCTCCATTCACCATCAATAGGAGAAACTTGAAGGAAGTAGCCTCTTTCACTTCACCTATCTAGGCAAGGCAGCATCGTTTCAACTACAGGTGGCACAGACAGGATCGGAAAAGCCAGCAAGACAGGCGTTTGTGAGTCTGAAACCAGTGTGGAGATCTACTGTACTCTGCACAAAGCGTGGACAAGATCTGGATTTTTAACACCAACGTCAAATCAATGCTTCTGTATGGTTCAGATACTTGGCGCGTTACGAAAGGGATTTCCAACAAACTACATTCATCAACAACTGCTTACTCTCGTTACTGAAGATCAGATGGCCAGAATGAATAAGCAACAAGGAGCTCTGGGAACGAACCAACCAAGAACCCACCGCTCAACAAATATGTAGAAGGAAGTGGAGATGGATTGGGCATGCACTGAGAAGGACGACTGGGGACATCACACGTCAGGCCAGGCAGTCGGGTGGAACCCAGATGGGAAGCGACGAGTTGGGCGTTCGAGGGCGATATGGAGGAGGTCGTGCGAGGAGGAAATGAGAGCTTGTGGGCTGTCGTGGAGCCAGGTTCAAAGGATTTCAGAGAACAGAGTTCACTGGAGTCGTGCTGCTGAAGCCCTATGTTCCATTAGGAATCGAAGTGACAAATAAATAAAATAATAAAGTTGAGGAGATTCATCTAACAACCTCATTAGGCAAATCGCCTATCTTGTCTAGTACCCTTCACTTGACCTCACCTCAACATTGTTCACACGGTGATCCCACTAAACGTGAGCAACGTTGCAAAGACACCTGTGATGGAAATCCTGTAACCACTTGATGTCATCTACTTTCAACTTGCATATCTCACAACCGTATAACAGGACAGAAGGGACTGCAGTACAGTATACTTGTCGTTTATTAGATAGATAGTCAGATATCTCGCCAGTCTGTGTAGTAGGTGACGCGAGTTGGTAAGTGTCAAACGGACCTTCTGTATCCGAGTTGAGATTTTGTCCGCCAGCAGCCCACTGAGGCTGATGCCAGTGCCCAGGTGATTGAAGTGGTTGACATATTCCACCACTTCACTGCCTATCCTCAATCTAGGAATAGTTGCAGACTAGTTAAGGAGTATAATCTAACATTTGTCAGGTTTGAGACGCATATCAAACATACTCATGATTCTGCTCAATTTGTTCAGCTCAGAAGACTCCGCATTATGTCAGCGCCTTCACCTAGCAGGATAATATCTTTGCATACTCCAAGTCAACCAGATAACGTTCAGGTAATTGGCCAATCCCTATGAATTCAGACGTTCCTAAGGTGGTTGTGTTCAAACTCTGTGGCTCTTACGCGTACAGATTAGCAGGATTGAGTGCATTGATGAGATGATGGATGCTAAACGAAATTAAGTCATTCACTGGTAAGTACTGACTGAATTTTATCAACTATACACATGAGTAATGGTCAGGAATAGATACATTCGATGAGGTAAGTTTTCTGGTCCCCGAGATAAAATTCATTTTCATTAAAGTTTCAGACACATAATAATGAGTGTTAGTGATCACAAAACCTGCGTTAGAAAGTCATTACACCTACCTCCAACTAGGTAACATAAAATATAAGTGCATTAAGTATTCCATCAGCCACAATTTTTTTTAAGAAGTACATCGCGCTACTCAATTTTCGAAAACAACCACGATTGTCGTCGCTAATGTTGGCAACTCTTCATAAGCCTTTTTACTCGACTATATGATTTCAAGTTGAGAGTCTTGACTTGAGTTACGCAACTTGTTCAGTACTTCCTTTTCAGCTAGATACTGACAGTATACCTCTCAATTGATTCACTTAAATGACGCTTTCAGGACAAGAAGTATAGCAAGTGTTTACTGATGTTAAATATGCCTATGTTCTATAAGCTGACGAAAAGTGACTATGTGATTGACGCATCTTCGCCCAGGTTTAAAATCTGCCTGGTTTACTCAAGTTTGTTGTTCTTAAGCAGCCGTTTAGCGTCGTATCCCTGTGGACCTGAGGATCTTGGATGTAATGTTAGTCGAGCTGATTCCCGACGATCGTTATGAGAAAACTTTCTTATAGATTGGAATGAACGGTGATCGGTGGAACTACCTCTCATTTTTGTAGGTTATTTAGAACCTAAGCTACTTTACTGGGTAATTTTATACCCGTATCCTCAGTTACTTCGTTGGTGAACTGTCACTTTCTGATTTTTTCCATAGTCCCAGGTTAGAAACAGCTTTCTCAACTTTGAGGAGAATTGAATGACCAATATCTACGTCCGATTCAAATTCGGGTTGCATACTAGGCAACTATTGTATGAATTTAGACCATTTGTGAACAGCTGTCATTTGAATACCCATTACTTAATAACTTGATATCTATCCAATCATGATTTCCACTAAAATTATAAAGTATGCTGTTGTTATTAATAAATCTACTCTTTTTTTTCCACCACCCTATGATAGGCTGTTTACACATTTACCAATGAATTAAGAAGTCGTCTTCTACAGTTTGTAACTGGAACATCTCGTGTACCAATGAATGGTTTTGCTGAATTGTGGGGTTCAAGTGGACCACAGAAATTCACTGTTGAGTGTTGGGGTTCTGTAGATCAGCTGCCTCGTGCTCATACTTGGTATGTTTTCTTCCGTGTATACTGTGTTCAAATTGAAGTAGACTTCACATGTTTCCCTTTATGTTCTCTCGATTCTCTTTGGTTTTAATTTTTCTTCTGAACGCATTCTACTTTGATATTATTTCCAAGATAAACTTAGATCAATTGAACAGATAAATCAGTTGATGAGATTGTAAAGCATTCACCAACTGAGATGGTTATATGCACGCTGAACCACTGCCTTTCTTAACGAGAAGTGTTGATTGAAGTGGGTGTATGTTGGAAAAAAGGTTAAATGTAGCCGAATTCAAAAGTAGTACCAGTCCGTGATGGCTTACTGTTATCCATAGGTGTGTGGGAAATGTGCGCTTCCACATCATATTCTGTGTACTAACTAAAATTTCCAATCGCATATCGAAAGCCAGAGTGGCATATGTCAATCTAGGCGACCTTTGGCGCCGTCGCGACATTGGTCTGACCCTAAAAAGTCGGGTTTACAACGCTTTGGTGCGAGCAGTTATTCTACGTCTGTGAAACCTGACCTCTTTGAGCCGAGGATGTGCGACAACTCTATGTCTTCAGTCATCGTTGTCTTCGTAGGATTCCTCGTATCCGGTGGCAACACCATGTAAGTAATCCTGAAGTAAGACAGCGTGTTTTTGGGCATGACGGCGATCGTCATTCAATAAGCGAATTCACACCAGCTTCAGTGGATTGGATATGTGTTACTTGTGTCTTTCTCAACGGCTTCCACACGATTCATTGTTTGCTAACCCTGGGACTGGAGGGAAGAAGCGGAGGGGTGGTCAGTGTATGACGTGGGATGAAGGATAGTTGTATCGTGTTAGGATCTGTTTGTGCACCCCGACCCCCTGAGTGGAGTGCGAGAGATCACGCAACTCAGTGGCTTGGGGCGTTATCAGATATGGCTGAGAATCGAAACTAATGGCGGTTATGCTGTAGTTTCCTCCTATCTTTTGCTTCTGAAAAGTATTGAATGTTTTGTTTCTAATGTACCTTACTGGACTGCACTTCTAAACACTCTATTCTTATTGCGTCGTATTTTCATCCACTTCCCTTCATTTCATGTCTTCGTAATGCTGTTATATCATTTTGTGTTCTGCTGTTGCTTTACCGTGTTTGTGTTTTAAATCCACGGAAATCGGTAATTCGAAGCTGTGAATAATCTGGCTATGAATCAACTGCACAAATATATCTAATTCTTATCTTCATTTTAGCTGTGATATTACATGTTCAGTCTAATCCCTATTCTCATATGATGGCCCACCTTGATTGATTGATACAAGGTGTGGCGACTTGAACTGTCGCATAGTAAAGTCGAATCTCGTGTCGATATTGACTGACAGAGTGACTGATTATGGTATACCTTTCGCTAGTATTGATAAAAGTGGTATGTAGAATGTTCATTGTTATAATTGACTTAGCTGCGGCTAGCAGTGAAATTTAAGATGCGTATCTCATCCTATTTGCTACTCGTCAGCTGAAGTTTGAGTGTTATTGGGAATGACATTACTGGGGTCCAGGTATGTCCAGCCAATGAGTGCCAAATACGACGAAATGCAAGTTCTTGATTTCACTGTTCGCCTTAACCAAGCCAATTAAAACAGAATATAAGGTTATGCAAAAAGTGATGTTATTGATTGTGTTGCTTTGTGTTATATTTTAAACCAACTTTTCGGCTTTTTCCAGTTCAGATATTGTGGTTATAGCCGGAAACTTTCATGATAACGTCAAGTACATTTAGTCTTCATAATCTCTGTGTATTGGACTGCAGCTCATTGTGCTAGGTAGTCGGTTTCTATTTTGTTCGGATCGAAATGCTCTCAGCAACCTTGTATTGTATGAGGGTTATTGATACTACCTAGATATCCAAACCTCGGTAGGTACAGCGGGGCTCGAACTCGTGACTGATTGGTTAAAACGATGTAGATGGTTTTCGACAATGTGGCTCGACGCTAACTTGCTTGCTGCGGAGCTTGAGGACTCTTGGTTCGAATCCTGGCGCTCTACTGAACAGTCCTATACTACAACGAAACAGCTGGTCAGTTCTCCCAGGTTTCCACTGGTTCTTCAACTGATACCAGTCTTTGACGAATACCAACTTGAAACTGTGAGCTCCACACAAACCTCCATATTGAATTGATCAGTTGTTGGTTTGGTAAATCCCTGACTCATTTATTGAAATCCAAACAGCTATGCAGTGTAACTAATTTGCACTCAGTAAAACTCGACTCATCTCTTGGTGTATAAAGCTACGCGTGATCGGTGCGTCAAATTTTACTGTCCGGTTCTTCTTTACTTTTTTCTCCTATCCTCTATCGGCTTTTCTCTTCTAGTTGCTTTTTATCATTTTTTTGAAATCTCCCTTGGAGGTATTTTTGAAGTGAAGTAACAGGAACCAATGAGTTGGCATATAACTGAAATGCTTTTTTTTCCCTTGCCACCACTTGTTTCTGAGTTGATTTATCAAGTTTTCTATAGTCGAAGTATGCCAATATTGTTCTTTCAATGTCTGTAGTACTGACATTACATACAGGTCATTGTTAGGTACATTTTTGTACATGTAGAGCTATCATTCATAGGTATAGATGTCTCACTTTTAGCTGAATGTATTGTGGTTCGACTCCTAACTCACCTATCAGGGTTCGAACAACCAGGTAAAAAGTATCTATTGACCCCATATAGTATGTTACCTGTAACCTTACTGTTAAAAACGCGCATTGTTAGATGTTGTGGTGTTTTTAGAGGATATGCATTTTTTACATGAGTCTAAAGCAACTTTAGAAGATTCCCAATCAAAATTTTTTCTCAATACTGTCAGTTTGTTTTCATCGAACTGGGTGCATATATCTTTTTGATAGTGATTTGTGATTGAAAGTCATTCGATATCACAGTTCAAGCTATTGATCTCCAGTTTTGTAAGTCATGAGTGTAAATTTAACTGCATTCAGAGTATGTTTTTCGTCAGTTGAATCTATTGGCAAGGTTGTACCCATCAATGAGTTTGTTTCACTGAGGAGAGTGTATGCATTATCATTATTCTAAGTAAAACATATGCTTATATATATATATATATATATATATATATATATATATATATTCTTTCTTTTATGATTTACAGTTTTAATCGTTTAGACTTACCTCCTTATACAACCTTTGAAGAACTTCGCTGTAAACTAATTATTGCTATAGAGAATGCAGAAGGATTTGAAGGTGTCGATTGAGTTTACTACACACGTATTCCTATATATATATATATATATATATATATATATATTCATTTATTCATTCACTTCTACTTCTCATAGTGAATAATATGACATATGATAAGTAAATAAATTGTCCAGTGTATTGGATTATTGTATGTACTTATCATATAGGTAAATCGTTTCTATGATAGACAAGAAGATAAGTAACTTTTGCACATAGAATATATATTAATTACACTGCGTATTACTTTCACTTATTCTATTCATATGATTAATAATTTGTGAAAAAGTCAAAGTGTTTGATGCTCTACATCTGATATTATGAATGATAATTAGTTTATTATATATATATATTCGCTGATATTTCCGTAGACAATGCATTCTATGTAATATAAAATCGCTTATTATCTCACATACATCTAATGGGTTATGCCAGTGTATTATGTTTTCTATCCTTCATGTAACTTACGTTCTTTGTGCATGTGGGTTAATTTTAGTCTTTCTTTGAAGAAAAAAGGCAAACTGGCATACTAGTTGGTTTCTATCTTGAAGGAAGTCGTGTGTATAATTACGCCTTCTAGGACAGAAAAAAACAAACAACTGAAATTTGTACGTAGGTGATTTTGTCTAAAAAAATTTTTTTTTTACAATTTATCCTTCAGCTTTATTATTACTGCCTTTTTTGTTTTTTGCCCACTCCTATTGTAACCGAGCACACATGCACCCAGGTAATAAAATGATGTTATTCTCTCCGGCCCCATCCCCCTCATTTTCCAGACAAAATTGTGCTAATTTTGATTGATTTCTTGGCCAACTTTTCACCTTCAATGTATGTAAAGGAAAATAGTAGTAATAATAGACGATTCATTAATTTAGGTTGCTTTGGTAGATAGATGGATAAATATATCAGATTATTTCTCTACTTTCTTAGTTCATCTGTTTTTTCTCTCTGTTGTTGTTGTTGTTGTTGTTTATTCTTAAAACAGGTGGGAAAGATTCTTTTTTATAAAAAAAAACAACCAAACTTCACATTGTGTAGTATTCATATTCGTTTATTAATGCTTATTTGTTATCCTTATTCATATAAATTATAATATACATATATTCTCATTGGATTATATAAGCGTATATGCCCCGTGAACACTTGTTCATCTTTATGCATTAACTTTGATTTTTCTCACCATCTGTCGATCTCTTCAGCTTTTTTTCTCTCTATTATTGTATCTCTCTAACTCCCCCTTCCTTCATTGTGTTTCTTTCATCTTTGTTTACACGTTGCTAAGTGTTTGAATCATGTAAACATATACACGAAGAGGATAAATTGAAAGTTAAATTACCCTTGATTTATTTTACATCAATTATCTTATTTTGGTGATTGTGTTTTTCCATCATGTTCAGAGGTGGTGACAGCAGCAACAATGAGCAAAGATGAAGAAGTTACTTATAAAATCCCTAATAAAGATCTTCATTTCTGTTTATTTTATTATTTCTGTTCTGTTTTGCATTTCGATTTTGTTGTAGAAATGTGAGAGAGGGAATGAATGAAAGAAAGAAAATGTGAAAGAAGAATGAATAATAATTGATTGATTCTCTGCTTTTCTGACTTATTGATCATCTTTACTTCGACGATTTGTGAACGTTAGACTTTCTATCAATTGACTATTAGTTTGAGCTATCTAAGAGGATGCACACTAGCTGGTAAGGATCGGTGTGACTAAACAAACCAATGTTCGTTGGAGACTCTAGGCGAAGATACGGCTCAATGGATATCAGTAGCGCAGAATGTCTCAAATGTTAGATGAATCTCCTCAACTTTATTATTATCATTATTAGTCCCTTCGATTCCTAATGAAACATATGGCTTCAGCAGCACGACTCCAGTGAACTTTGTTCTCTGAAATCCTTTGAACCTGGCTCCACGACAGCCCACAAGCTCTCATTTCCTCCTCGCACGATCTCCTCCATATCTCCCTCGAACGCCCAACTCGTCGCTTCCCATCTGGGTTCCACTCGACTGCCTGGCCTGACGTGTGATGTCCCCAGTCGGCTTTCTCAGTGTGTGCCCAATCCATCTCCACTTTCTTCCAGTGCATATTTGTTGGGTGATAGGTTCTTGGTTGGTTCGTCGCCAGACCAGAGCTCCTTGTTGCTTATTCTTATTATTCTGGCCATCTGAGCTTCAGTAACGAGCCAGAATAGACAGTTGTTGATGAATGTCTGTAGTTTGTTGGATATGCCTTTCGGGCTTAGGACCGGCTTGTAATTAGTGAACTAGTTAACCAGGAGAGGTAAGTCGTATACATTAGTGATGTGTTTTTGAAACTGTGGGTGAACTGACAAGCCCGGATAAACAGGAAAGGTTGGGTATAGGGCTAGCAACCCTACCCCGTAAAACAAATCTAACCGCTAAAGAAACTTCAAAGCACAAACACAACATAAAAAATAACAAAATTATTCCTCTCTGGAATCGAAGAGACGAAATGACGCTGGTTGGTGAAGGCCTGCCTTCGGGAAGCCAATCGGCCGATGTGTCTTCTCTCGATGAAACCGAAAGTAAACGTGGGGACATGGAGTGTCCGCACCATGTTTGAACCCAGGAAGGCAGCCTAGACTGCAAAGGAGATGAAGAGGTATCATATTGAAGTGCTTGGGATTTGCGAAAGCAGATGGAATGGGAGTGGACTCTCCAAACTGTCAACTGGAGAATCAATAATCTACTCCGATATCGTCAACCAGACGACAACCACGAGCACACTGAGGGAGCGGCTATCATGATGTTCCCTTGAAGAGCATTGAAGGCTCTCATGCAGTGGGAACCAATCTCCTCCACCATCAGGATCATGACAGCAAGGTTCAACTCAAAAGGAAGAAAAGTCACAATCATACAATGCTATGCTCCTACAAATAATGCAGAGCAAGAGAAGAAGGAGGAATTCTACAGACAACTTCAATCGATACTGGACAAGATCCTAGTTGGCGATATGAAAATTCTAATGGGTGAGTGACATGAATTCCAAACTGGGAGGGGACAACACAGGAAGAGAACTCACCATGGGTCGAGAAGCGCTCGGTGATGTGATGAACGAGAATGGAGAATTGTTTGCAGAATTCTGTACATTCAGCGATTTGGTGATTGGAGGGAGGCAGTGTGTTCAAGCACAAGGATATCCACAAAGCGACATGGATTTCACCAGATACCAGGACACACTAAAAATCAAATCGACTTTATCTCAATCTCAAGAAAATGGAGACGCAGTCTACTTGACACAAGGTGAAGAAGAGGAGCAGATGTAGGTTCATACCACTCACTATCTAGTGCAAGGAACCTTCCAAATCAAGTTAAAAGCCTTCAAGGAAGCTGGTGATAGACCGCAGTTCAAGTACAACACGGAGAACAGAAACTGAAGGACGAAACTACACAGAAAATCTTCATGGCAGCCATCAAGACAAAATGGAGGATATCGAGGAACAACCCTGAAGAAACCTGTGTAGATGAACACTGGAAGTCTTTGAAAGCTATGTGGAAAGAAACCTGCACAGCCGTATTAGGAAGGGAGAAGAAAGAAGATAAGAAATGGATCTCGAAGGACACATGGAAGCTGATAGGGAAGGGAGAGGAGGATGGTGAAACAGAAGATAAACCAGTGCAGGGATGCACAACAAGAGGAGGGACTGAGTACAATGTATGAAACACTGGACAAAGAAGTGAAGAAGAGTGCACGCAAAGACAAAAGACACTTCTACGAAACACTGGCAAGTGAAGCAGAACAGGCCAGGCAGTCGAGTGGAACCCAGATGGGAAGCGACGAGTTGGGCGTTCGAGGGAGATATGGAGGAGGTCGTGCGAGGAGGAAATGAGAGCTTGTGGGCTGTCGTGGAGCCAGGTTCAAAGGATTTCAGAGAACAGAGTTCACTGGAGTCGTGCTGCTGAAGCCATATGTTCCATTAGGAATCGAAGGGACTAATAATGATAATAATAATATATACGACTGCAAACAGGTATGCAACCTTCGTTCTAGGGTTTTCTTACTTGTTGTCTACACCAACACAATAACGTTACTGTTCGACATACGTTGATGATTCGATATATGAAGGATTGTTATGTTGTTTAGCCTGGTGAATGAAGGCATATCATCATCGAGGAGACAGCACACAGCTACTTAGTGGGTTGGATGATCAACTGGCAACCCCTCCTCATAGACAGTCAGATATCATTTTGTAAAACTGAATGAAAAGATTATTCAACCTTTAGTTTATACTAACTAGTGGACGAGAACTAAATGAACACCCTATTGTAATGATGGATAGTGAGTGGGTAGTAGTGGAATCATCCTATTTGGGACTCACCAGTCAGCTGGATGTACGTGCTTCTCAGTGAGTGATGTTGTTCCCACCGGGATTCGTACTCGGGTGATATCGATGTATGCGCACAGGAGCCCATATGCCAACGTGGATCAGTCGATTCGGTGTAATCAACGATGGTATAATGTAAAAACAATTATACTGTGAACAACACCCTATTGATTAGACTATGGTGATACTCAATCAAAGTGACTATTATAAATAAATCTACATAATTATCAGCTTTGTTTGATGAAGAGGAGACAAAACGGTGATAAAAGATAGCAGAACATCTATTTATTGCGGATACCAGTCCCCTGCCTGAGTCGACGTGCCATGCATTCTGTGAAAAGCTGTATTCGGTTGGAAAAGGGTTCAGGGTGTTCAAATCAAGGCGCTGAACTGGTGCAGGAATTCGCTAACTGTTGGTGTTCGTCGTGTGGGGAGATGTATGCTTCCTGGTTGGGGTCCTCGAGACGATAGGAATCATTGGTTGAGAACTCTTGAGGACATGGCTGAAAATCGGTCACAATGGTCCAGATGTACTCACTTTTTCACATCTAAAGCTTGGATATTTGCACTAATAGTTATCTGTCTGACAGCTTTGTGTACTGTGATATCATGCTTTTTTTATCCACCTGTTCTTTTTATATTAATGTGAAGTGTGGCAACTT